TTTACTGTATTTTAAAAACAGACACAAGAAGATACAGATAGGTCACGCTATGTGATCTTATCCTGGAGCAATCTAACCCATTGGACTATGAGGCCTCACCATACGGAACAAAAACTGCACAGGCCACAGTTGGGCCACAAAGGCTCTCTCCTTGCAATGCCCTAATAAATGGATGTAAATAATCAAAATGCCTTGCTCATGTTGAAATGTTAGAGAAAAGGTCGGGAATAAATTTTTTTTTTTAAAGCGTTGTAGACAGTCCCTGGGGAAGGAAAGTTTCCCAAGAAGAATGCAGGATAACAGAGTGCTACACTGAGGAACACACAGCCAACAGGAAGAAGGAAACAGCAAACTTGGAAAAGTGGCTGTTAGAAAAATACTTTCAGTTCGCAGGCCGACACTCTATCCACTGAGCCACACCAGCTAGGGCAGCAGTGCCACGCTGAGGCACACACGTGCCCAGCAGCAGCATTCTAAGAGCCAGCGGGTGGAAGCAACCCAGATGTCCATGGGGACAACCACCGGTAGAAAATGCGGCATCACATACAGTGGGCCGTTCCCCACAGAAAGGGGTGAAGCGCTGATGCCCGTTCCATGGGCAAACCATGAGCACATTGTGTGGAAGGAGTGCAGCCCCTGAGAACAGCCACGGCAGCCCGGGCCCGGAAACGTCAGGACAGGGACATCTAGACTCAGCCACCACATTGGTGGGGGCTTGGGGGCTGGGGTGGGCAGGGGAGCAGGAAGGTGATAGCTGGAGATGACACAGTTCTGCGACTGGGGCTCTGGGTGCACATATGAGTGTACTGCAGCCACTGCGTGTAGTTCGCCTGGAAACTGCATGTGGGCTGACGGGCAGACACTCCGTCCGGTAGGAAGCCGCAGGACAGCCGGTGGGTAACAGCCGTTCCCAAAGCAGACGTCCTCCTCTGTCTCAGGCCCCAGGGCCTGTCAGCTCACGGATGTGAGGTCGGCTCTCGTCAACAAGCCCCCCCCAGGCTTCTTTGCTGCTCAGCATCTTCATAGCAGGTCACTTAAAGGACTTGCTGTGTCACCTGAACGAGACCTTCTGTCTGTGCCACCAGCTCAGCTGTACTCACGGCGTCTGACCGCTTGTCTGAGTAACCCAGTGGCTCTCCACTGGTGACTCCCGTGACCCAGACTCTTGGTTTTAGATGCGCACGTGCGGCCTCCGGACCTGAAGCTCCTGGCGGCGGCGCTGAACCAGCTCCGGGCAGAGCTGCTGCGGGCCCTGAGGCTCGGCCACAGGGCACCCCTGTGCTCGCGGGCCCTGGGTGTCCCTGACGTGGTTGCTCTTTTTCATGATGAGAAAGACAGCCTCCTGCAGAAGTACTTTCCAAAGCAGCGTTAACGTCTCCATTTCCAATCAAAGGTTTGATTTCGGTGATTTGCAAACGGACAATTTTGAATTACTGCGTATTCTCAGGGCGATGACAGGAGTTGCCAGGCTTACTGTTCATAAAAGTGAGGTCCGTTTGTCGTAACAGAAATGACTGTCATCTACCTGTCGCACGTGACGTGGATGACGGAGCCTCAGAGGCTGCCTCCCTCGTTGCTGTGCCAGGACTGCAGGGCTGGGTGGGCAGGACCCTGCGAGGATCTTTAATAAAGCGAAGAAACTAGAAAGGAGACTGTGGGTGTGTGGAGCTTTTGTTTCTAAGCCATGTGACAGAGCTACTCATGGGTAAGGCATTCTACCAATTCCAACAATGTAGCCAAAAACCTTGGGTTTTAATTAAAAAGTTAATTGGATCCTAGTTCTCAAAAAAGAATGGCAAACATAGGAAGTGTTACTTTTTATTCACATATTACAGAGGCAAAGCTTCTTGCACAACATGAACTACACGCTGGGCATGGTATTTCAGCCCTGATCGCTCTGCGATCCCTAGACAGGTTTTTGCAATCATACTCGTTTTGCATACAAAGTATGTTCTTTACATCAAAATACATATTAACAAAAACGCGTTCTAGAAATCACATACCCTCTAACACTATTTAGTGAAAAAATCCTTAGTAGGGAATTTTTAATAATACAGCCATTTGATAAATATTTTTGTAGAACTTAAAATGAGGTTTATTTCTGAACATTTATTTAGCAATATTACCTTTATCAAACAGTTCTGCAGATGAATGGCAAACACCTTTTTCTAAAATGAAATAGCACTGGAAAATAGCCAATAGAATTTTTTCAAAGTAGAAGTCTAGCCTTTACTTGAATTTCAAGAAGTTGTAGCTACATACTATATTAGTAAAATCTGAAATAAAATTATTCCATATTAATTTTCAGTTTCTTAAAAAAATAGTGGAGATAAATTATCTACCAACTTTAAAAATCTAAACTTATGTTCACTGAACAAAAATAAATTCTTTCAGAACATTGCCTGTTAACAGCAAAATACTATAAACATTGCATGTTAAACTTTCCAAACACCTCATTTCTATAAAACAGGATTAAATATAAAATGGGATAAATATACTCAATACTTAATGGAAGATACATTTAATGCAGATTTAAGTGAAACCCTAAATCTTCTCAAAAACAGAACACTACAGAGCGCCTAAGGCAGATTCGCTTCAAGGACTTGCGTGCACTGAGCAGTAACTGACTTCCAGGCATCAGGCCTTTGTTACACCAACTGCGCTGGGTCTCGGGGAAAAGAGTCATACATTCGAGTTTGTAATTATGAAAAAATGTCTACGTTGAAAGTAAAATGCACCTTCAAAACATCTATCTTTAGTTGTCAGAAAAAATATATTTGTCACTATCTGGCCCAGAATGCAGTTAATAAACTGGTTTTAACAAGAGTTCTTCCTTTTATTTCACGAAAACCTGCATTTTCTATTTTGCGTATTGCTTTTATTTGAATAAAAGTGAGGGGGGAAATAGAAGCTTCCAAAGCAACCTCGTGCTTTGTGGGAATGAATGAAAAGGGGCAAAGTTATGCATCTGGAAATGGCGGCACGGACCCTGGTCTGAGTGGTCAAAGCGACGGAGCGAAGCAGGACTAGGTTTTGGCCGCAGGAGCCTCAGCTTTGAGGGAAGAGGTCGAGTTGGAGAAACCCTCTGAGATGCTGCTGCTTTGAGCAGTGCAACTGAGAGGAGCTGAGATGGAACATTCACCCACAAGAACTCCTTTGAAAGGCTTCCTAGCATTTGGGGCCAGAAGATCCATTCCCTTGGCACGTAGGGCTTTTGTGGACATAAGCCTTCAACATCTCCCTTTTAGGAGTAGTGGTCCTTTCTGGTTAATAAATGCTCAGTCGTTAGGGTGTTCTCTCTACAAACCCGATGAGTAACACTTCAAGCTTTAAACCAAATTAAAAGTAAAATGCTTGCAAAGCACACAAAAACCAAGTTAGAAACAGTAAGTTTATTGTTTGACCAAGCGCTCTTCAGGGTAAGCGAGTTATTACACAATATATCAACAGCAGCCTCCTATTCAAAATTCCTCTAGATTAATTAGCACGTCTTATTTCTGTAAACAAGTTAAATCTGTCTGTGTGCATTTGATATCTACTTTCACATGGTAAGTCCTTTCCCACTAGGTGTCGAGGCAGTCAGCTTCCATGGCTCTGTCGCCGCGCAGGCAAGACTGGTACAACGGCAACAAGCATCACAACTTGAAGTCACACTAAGTGTTCTAAGGGGCCAATTCTGAAGAGAAGAATTCGTTTTGGATGTGTTTCATTTTTAAAAATATACTTCGTCCTATTTTCCCATGTCTTCCTATACACACATTTGAGAAATTATGGACAACAAATGGGTGCAAGGCCGGAGGCAGGAAACAGGACGCAAAATTTCGTGAAGGACTGACTGTCTCCGGGAACCCGATGGGACTGTCACTTACCTCTTTGGTCATCAAAGGAGGAGGGAGAACAGACACTCACTGTCCCTGTTAAGCTCACCTGACAGTGATGATGTCAGAATAAAGCGTTGAAATACAAGGTTCAAACTAAAAGAACAAAAAAGGCATCTTCATAGGTAATCACCTGACATTTCCAGCATTCTCATGTATTTACTTGTGGGTTTTAAAATAAACTACAAGTATAATAAAACGAATCCAATGGCAAATTGATGCATTTTTAAACAAGAGATTGAATAAACAGGTTTTCAAATATTAAACTCCATTTTCAATGTAAAGCCTTGTTTTATTTCATTTCAGGACATTCCTCTCAAATTTTTATAGCTTTAATTTTAAAAGAATTAACTGTTTTACATCCCCCCTTATGGAAAAAAGAAAAAGGTTTACTATATACTGAAATAGCTTTACTTCTATCAGTTGAAACTATCAATTCAACTTAAACTAAGTGAACTAGAGAGTATTTCAACTATCTAAAGAGCAACTTTAAAGGCAATTCCTCTGCTAAACATGGAAATAAGTTGTAACAAAGTTTGTGAGAAAGTAATTTATTCTACCATTTTTAAATATGGCAGACATGACATCTAACTGCGTATATAGTGAAACACCACTAGGATCAAGCTTTGAAGTCTACATGGACCTTAAACGTGGGGGTTTAAATGAATACCTGTAAGATTAAGATTGCACTTCAATCATCAAAGTCTAAATAAAAGGAAAAAACAGACACCAAAGTGTCTAATTGTTCTAATATATAAATTAGAACAAACTTTTATGGAAAAGGGAAAACATTTGTTTCTATTGTCAACTTTGTTTTCTATAAATATAATGTATAAACTTTAAATTAGCATATTAGGGATGGTCCTCTCCCTACCAACAAAAACCCACAATAAACAAAACTAAAAAATGCATAAAGTCAAAACCAAGGACAGAGTAATGTGACTGTTCCGGTCAGTGCTGGTTATGCTGCCCTCTTGCAAAGTGACAGGCGAAGTCGTACTTGTTTTTACATTTGCATCCGCAGATGTTGCACTGGAAAGGGTTCTCATACCCGTGACAGCCCATGTGAATGGTGTAGAGGATGTTGTCGGCAAAGTACATGTCACAGTGCTGGCAGTGGTGCAGGAGCTGCGGGTCCTGGGCCGGCAGGGTCGGAGCGGGCGTGCTCGGCTGGCTGTTTCCTATGCTCGGGGTGCTCGTGTGGGCGCTGGGCTCGCTGCTGGGACCTGCCACGGGACTGTAGTTCCTCTGGCTCTGGGGCGGCCGAGGCTCGGGGCTGGTGGGGGAGGTGCTCTGAGGAATACTTGCGGCCACGGCAGAAACCACTGCCTGGGCCGAGGGCTGCTGCAGCAGGAAAGGCTTCTCGTCTGGGCAGGGCACGACGTCGGGGGACGCAGGGTTCTGGTTTTCAGGGGGCAGGCTGGACAACTGCCCTGCGAGAGTGGAGAGCTGATTGAGAGGGTTGTCGACCAGGAGTTCTTGGGGGTCGCTGGGTAGGCCCCCAGTGGAGGTGCTTTTCGCCATACTTTCATAGGAGTCCGTCTGGATGTTGGGAATTTCATGGGTGAAATCGTTAAGGTAGTCTGGCTTCTGAACCACCATGGAAGGCGGACTTAAGTTGATTAGTGCTCTTCTGCTGTAGCCCAGGTTGCTGGTTTTCTTCTGTAAAACGCCCCACATTTTCTTGCTGCTTAAGGAAGACCTCGCACCTTTGATCGGCACCATCTTATGCTTGCGCCGTCGATGATGGGACAGGTTGCTTCGATCGCTGCAGCGGAAGGAACACAATTCACATTTATATGGTTTTTCTCCTGTATGGGAACGCATATGGGCTTCCAGGTGACGCTCGTAAGCAGAGGCAAATGGACATAAGTGACATCTATGAGGTTTTTCACCTGTTTCAAAAGAAAAATGGGGGAGAGATGGCAAGACAGAGGTTGAGAGATGATTTGGAGCAGGAGAAAGATGGCCGAGGATGGGGAAGCTTCACAAGGGGCCTCACTTCCTGGGTGCATGTTGTTATGCGATCACTTTGTAAAAATACAGTACTTCCCATCTATTCAAACCGTACGTCAACCTTCATTTTTAAACTATCAGCACTACTTACACCACAGGTCAGCCTTCAGCACAGTGCTGGCAGTGGTGCAGGAGCTGCGGGTTCTGGGCCGGCAGGATCGGAGCGGGCGTGCTCGGCTGGCTGTTTCCTATGCTCGGGGTGCTCCTGTGGGCACTGGGTTCGCTGCTTGGATCTGCCACGGAACTGTAGTTCCTCTGGCTCTGGGGCGGCCGAGGCTCGGGGCTGGTGGGGGAGGTGCTCTGAGGAATACTTGCGGCCACGGCAGAAACCACTGCCTGGGCCGAGGGCTGCTGCAGCAGGAAAGGCTTCTCGTCTGGGCAGGGCACGACGTCGGGGGACGCAGGGTTCTGGTTTTCAGGGGGCAGGCTGGACAACTGCCCTGCGAGAGTGGAGAGCTGATTGAGAGGGTTGTCGACCAGGAGTTCTTGGGGGTCCCTGGGTAGGCCCCCAGTTGAGGTGCTTTTCGCCATACTTTCATAGGAGTCCGTCTGGATGTTGGGGATTTCATGGGTGAAATTGTTAAGGTAGTCTGGCTTCTGAACCACCATGGAGCGGGACTTAAGTTGATTAGTGCTCTTCTGCTATAGCCCAGGTTGCTGGGTTTCTTCTGTAAAACGCCCCACATTTTCTTGCTGCTTAAGGAAGACCTCTCACCTTTGATTGGTACCATCTTATGCTTGTGCTGTTGATGATGGGAGAGGTTACTTCGATCGCTGCAGCGGAAGGAACACAATTCACATTTATATGGTTTTTCTCCTGTATGGGAACGCATATGGGCTTCCAGGTGACGCTCGTAAGCAGAGGCAAATGGACATAAGTGACATCTATGAGGTTTTTCACCTGTTTCAAAAGAAAAATGGGGGAGAGATGGCAAGACAGAGGTTGAGAGATGATTTGGAGCAGGAGAAAGATGGCCGAGGATGGGGAAGCTTCACAAGGGGCCTCACTTCCTGGGTGCATGTTGTTATGCGATCACTTTGTAAAAATACAGTACTTCCCATCTATTCAAACCGTACGTCAACCTTCATTTTTAAACTATCAGCACTACTTACACCACAGGTCAGCCTGCCCTCCTTGGCCCCTCTCCTGCCTCCACAGAAGCGCGCTCCTCGCCCCTTCTGTTACCTGTGTGGATTCTGATGTGTTCAATAAGCCGGGCTGTCCCTTTGCTGGCATAGTTGCAATAACGACACTTGAGCTTCCCATCGAAGGTCCTTTCGAAGCCGTCTACTAACATTCCCGAGTTTTCATCCAGGGAAACTTCAACAGATGGGTGGTCAAGTCCATTTTGATCGCCATCTGTCCCAGCTGTAAACAAAGAACAGCAAAAGAAAGTATGCATCTCAGAGGCAACTCAATGTAGCATTGTAGTCTGAAGTAGCACAAAACCTTTCCTAAGATCACAGTTTACTGCGCTTACTCACAAATGCTATCAGTCCTCACCATGCGTTTGTAGAAGAGATCAGGGTGCCACCCTTGTTTGACAGAGAGGAGACAGAGGGGAGTAAGTAGTGACCACGCAGATACACGTTTTTTAAGTTTCCAGCCACTTCTAGAAATGTAACTGGAAGTCATGAAAATCTCCCCAGATCCTACTCTGCCTATTTTAGCCTAAACCAGTCCATGCTGTTTTGCGCTGTTCCACTCAGTGGTACAGATGTCCTAGACTCTGGGTCGCACTTAGGATCCTAATATTCTAATTAAGCACATAAAAATATTGTACTAGATTCCTCTGAATGCTGCAACTATAGGGCTTTGAGAGCTAAAAGGTCTTTGGCTCTTGGCTCTTAACCTAATCCGACTACTTCTTTGTATAAGGAAACAGGGCAAGTGTTCATAACAGGAAAACCAGCAAATGCTGGGGACAGCCCTGGCCCCTCAATCCCAGCCCAGCAACCTGCACACTAGTGTCCGCGGGGACATGCTACTCCTCCAGCTTCCAGGGAAAGCCCTTCCACCCATCCCCAGGAGGCAGCAGCGCTGCCGTGAGGAACTCGAGCGGCACCCCACCCAGGGAAGAGACGTGATTTTGCTGCTGGTGCAAGTCCAACATCCAGCAACACCATTGCACCGGAGGCCCGGGGCTCAGCACCACCCTCCCTCCCTCCCTCCTGCTGCTATCCCAAGCCAGGGGCTCTCTAAACTTAATGTATGTACGAATCCCTCGGGGAGCTGTGGATTGGCCTGACAGTCTGCACTTCTAACCAGCTCCCAGGTCTCTGCTGCTAGTCCCTCGACTACAAGGCCATAGACCACCTAGGTCAGGGGCCAGGCACCTTTTCCTATAAGGCTCGACAGCAAATCCTTCAGGCTGTAGGGCCACAGGGTTTCTATCACAACTACTCAACTCTGCGGTTGTAGCACAGATACAGAAAAATGTAAACAAGCAAGTGTGGCTGTATTTCAATAAAACTTTATTTACGGAAGCTGAAGTTTGAATGTCATGATTTTCACGTTATGACCTTCTTCTAATTGTCTCCAACCATCTTTAAATGTAGAGACCGCTCTTAGCTTGCAGGTCATACGGAAATAAAGTAGCTTGCAGGTCATACGGAAATAAAGGGGTGGCAGTCCAGAGGGGCTCACAGGCTGTGGTGTGCGGGCCTGAGTGAGGTCAGAATCCGTCTCCAGTGGGTGGTGAGCAAACTAGACAGACAGTCTGTCTGCAGTGGGCAACTGCTTTCTCCGTCCTAGTTTCTCCTCCCGGGTGGCTAAACATCGCCCTTTCTTCGTTTTGAGAGAAGAAACCAAAATCCCCCGTGTTTCAGGCCTAATCCAGAATCCCTAATGGCTGGTCCTGTGTGCACTGAGTGGGTGCCTGTGTCTCTTGTCAGTTAGAGAAGCTGGAGGACAGGGAGGATACGAGAGCTCTCATCGTCCGAGGCCGTGAAGCCCGGGGGCTCACTCACCAACAGCTGACATGTTCAAAGGAAGAAAGGAAGCTGCCCTGTGTCTTTGCAGGAAAAATGGAATGATTCGCGTAAGGGAATAACGGTGTGGACAGCATGACGAACATGACTGTGTTTACAAAAGGGAGTTAGTGAGAGTATTAGGTGAGTCTACCTCCCTGAAGAGCCTCTGCCTCCTTGTCCCCGCTCACTGATCCCGAGATCATGTTCACGTGGTGGGTCTGCTGGGTCAGGTACTCCTGGAAATCCTTCACGAAGTCCAGAGGCTCTGGCCTCTTCTCGCCCATCTTGTTTGTGTTGTGCGGCTTGTTTTAAAGTTCACAGGTCGTTACACCTGGGGGGACACTGAAACAATTGCACACGATTAGGGAGAGACAGCACACAGCGACACAGCACGACTGCCAGGCACTAAGCAGGGCCACAGAGGACACAATCCCTGCCGTTACAGACGTGTCACCTTCCTGGGGACCTGGACGAGACACACACAAAACGGTGGGAAAGTAATAGAGTTAATACTTAAATCACTGGGATTCCAACTTAAGTCTTAGAGGATGGAAGGAAATTACAAAGAGAAAAAAGAGGAAAAAAAGTCCAGAAACAGGCACATCATCAGGGATTGTCAATGGAGACAGTGAAGACACAAGTGGCTCAATAGGGCTGCCAGCGGTTTCTAGATGATGGACATGCTAACGACCTGCCTTACCCAATGCAGCCGCATGCAGCCACTGAGCACTTGGAATGTGGCTACTACAAATGACGAGTTTTAAATTTTATTTAATTTACATTGAAACAGCGAGGGACACAGCAAAGGCTCTGAGTGACGGGTCACGCGAATGAGTCCTCTAGGAATAGGAGGTCTAGCACAGGGGTGCAACCTTTCTGTCCAAGTCCAAACAGTAAATACTTAGGCTCTGCAGGTCACACAATCTGTCAAAACTAGTGACCTCTGTCACTGTAGCGAACGGCAGCCACACACAATACGTACATGAACGATTAGGCCTGTGTTTCAATAAAACCACAAGAACAGGCTCTGAGCCGGGCTCGGCCTCTGGGCTGCTTCCCCCCACCCCTGCCACTGAAATCCAAACCCACCTCTACCGCCACACATCAGCCCACTCACTCTGAGAATGGGGGGTAAGAATGGGAGATTTTGTAATCGCAAACTAAACTGGTCCTCCCATAGGTTTATGGCCCAAATCCACAAATCAAATCACCAAAATGTTTTCTAGTAAGAACAGAATGAGGAAGTCTAGCTCCTAAAAAGCAAAAAGTCTTTTCTTCCAGTAAAAATACTTTTATGCAAAGGCCAAAGGTTGTGAAGTGGGAGGGTTCTATAAAAGTATTTTCCAATTAACAAAAGCTTGACCAACATTTTAAGAACTAAAACTCCTATTTTAATTGATTAACTAGGAATCGACTGGAAACACTAACCCTTGACTACTTACAACTATAGATGATCTGACCACACAGCGTGCGGCCATGGCGGTAGGAACTAACTAATGGCCAGGACTGTTTCCGCTGCTGTTTCCCATCTTCCCACGTTTCTTTGGACAGGTTCTCTGTTTCCTAGTCACTGTATCATTGTATTTCTATTTGTTTTGTGACTGCAGTTGAATCTACCGATTATCTGTCCTTTAAAATTTGCCCTTTGGTTAGAAAAACAAGATAAGTCAGTCATCCTCAATGAAAAAGATTAAGAATAAGATCAAGAACAATCCTATATAATAAAAGCCTAATATGCAAATTGTCCCCTTGACTGGGAGTTCAACCACTAGCTATGACATGGGCTGACCACCAGGGGGAGGCATGGAACATGGCGGGCGCCAGTGATATGATGTTGGCAGCGGGCGGCAGAGGAGGTGCTGTCAGCCCTAATGGGCCCCAATGAGAGCAGGACCGTAGTGGGATGGTGAAGCAGGTGAGCAAGTGGCGCCAGGCCAAGGCAGGTGCGAGCTGGGAACAATCGCCCCCTGATGGCCCCACAGATGGCGACCAGTGGCAGTGGCAGGGGGTGGGGCTGCCACACGGCTCCCAGGAGCTGAGGGAGCTGGGTGGGGGGCCCAGCCCAGATTGATGGCCCTGCAGATGGCGAGATGGGGGTGTCCACCGAGCTCGCTCTCACTCTCCCTGCTACCCTCCCTCAGGATGTTGGGAAAGTCCCCACACTCAGGTGCCAGGCGCCCACAAGGAGCCTGCCCCGCACCCTCACAGCCTCTTCCCAGTGAGCCGGCCGCAGCCACTGGGACCACAGGGACTGGTCGGGCTCCCCGTGGGTTCGCACAGGAACTGGTCTGTGAGGCTAGCTGGGAGAGAGGTGCTGCCCACCTGGCTTCCACGTGGCACCACTGGGAGGCCCAGAGGCCCGCGCTGTGCCCCAGCCTGCAGCGTCCAGCAGCACTCACCCCATCTCCGCATGGGGGCTCAGGAGAGGTGACTTAGTTGGAGGGGAGTGCATGGGGGCTGTGGGCCCAGGTGCTGCCCAGGGCCCAGAGGTCAGCTAGGACCTGCCCTTCCACACCAGACATTCGCACTTTGATCACTGGCCAGGCCTAGGGACAGTACCCACGCACGAATTTTGTGCACTGGGCCTCTAGTCTACAATAATAAAAGCATAATATGCTGTTTAGATGGGACCTTCCAGGTGAAGCCGGGGCTGCGAGGGACGCCCGGGTCCTGGGTGCCAGAGGGAAGCCAGTGCTGACAGCTGGGGGAAGGAAGGCCTACTCTTGCACACATTTCGTGTATCGGGCCTCTAGTGTATAATAATGTTACAGCTCAATAAAACCAAAGCAGAGAGGGGTGGGGAGAACTGTAAAAATATACACGAAAATGTAAGAAATATAGCAGACAGAGGTGTAGAATGAGTTCCAGAAACAAGAAATGTTTTTTTAAAAACAATGATCAAGAAATGTCCAGAATTAGAGATCTTTCATATTGAATGGGGTCAGAGTGTAAAATAGGATATACGGTAACACTTAGACACATTATTGTGAAATTTAAAAATCTCAAAGACAAAGAAATCTATCCAGCACTGTCTAGAGAGAAGGCAGTGCACCACATGGGAAAGCAGTCAGACTGCTCGGGTGTCAATGCGACCCAGTGCAGACGACAACAGCAGCACCTGCAAAACCCATTTCAGAAAGTCTACACTTCAAGCCGACCAGGGGATCGTCCAAAACCACATCACAATCCAGGGAGAGAATGTAGAGGCACTGCTTTAGAGCAGGGGAGGGAACCTTTCTTTTGTTCAGAGCCATTTGGATCTTTACATCATTCGAGGGCCATACAAAATTATTAACTTAAAAATTAGCTGCTCGCCAAAACCGGTTTGGCTCAGCGGATAGAGCGTCGGCCTGCGGACTGAAGGGTCCCGGGTTCGATTCTGGTGAAGGGCATGTACCTGGGTTGCGGGCACATCCCCAGTGGGAGATGTGCAGGAGGCAGCTGATTGATGTTTCTCTTTCATCGATGTTTCTAACTCTCTATCTCTCCCTTCCTCTCTGTAAAAAATCAATAAAATATATTTAAAAAAAAATTAGCTGCTCTATTTGGTCAAACCCCTAATTAACTCCCCCCGCCCCCCCAATGCCTTGGCAGGGCCAGACCGAAAGATTTCTCTGTCCTTATGTGGCCCGCGGGCAGGTGTTCCCCACCCCTGCTCTAGAATCAAGAAGACAAGAATACTTGCTATTACTACTGCTATGCTTTAAAACTGAATTTTTTTTGGTGACACTGGTTAATAAAATTATACAAGTTTTAGGGGTACAATTCTATAGTACATCATCTGTATATTGTATTGTGCTACTGCTATTCAACATAGTTCTGGAATAGAGACCCCCACAATAAAAAAAGAAAAAAAAAGGTATGAGGATTGGGAAATAAAAGATGATGATGATGAGGGTGAGGAGGAGGAGGAGGATCGGGGAAATTATTTTATAAATTGTAAAAATGCCAAGGCCCTAAAGCTTGTCTGTGTTGTAATTGTAAAAGTCATAATTAAGAAAGAAATCCTGGTATTTACCTTGCAACTTAGCATCACCTCTAGCCAATCAATTCATATGAAAACTGCTGTTTCCACTGGAAAATATCTGAATGTGCTTTGACGGGCTTCAATAAGCAAGATGAACCTTACCCAATCCCAATGGAAGGCACAACACTGCTAGGGCACATGTGAAAAGCAGAAAAATGCAGGAGGCTGCCAGTGTGCCAGCAGAAGCAACGACCCTTTCATTCGGGCGTCTCCAGATTGAAGAGCACCAGTGAGCCTGATCACAGAGGTGCTGGCACGTTCCGACGGGCACTGTCCTGGTAAATGTCACTCTGTCCCCTGCCATTCACTGCGTGCTGACTCAGTCACAATGCATGATGTGCTTAAAACAAATCCCAAGGCTAGGGATGCCAATGGGACAAAGGAAAATAACGTCGTAAACACGAGAGAAAACCACTTTTAGTTTTTAACATATTGCTATGGCTTATAACCTTAGACCTACATCCCCCCCCAAACATACATACACACAGACACGCACATACCGTGGCGTGTGCACAGCACGGCAGCTCCTTGCACAGCTTTAATGCCTGGGATGAAAGATGCCTAAATCTGAATGGAATCTTTGGTTCAAGACCCAGGTTTCTCTAGCTCACGTCAGTCTATCTAAGCACAAAAAAACAGAAAATGAACACTAATTCTGAAACAGAAAGCTTCCTGATGCTGAAAGGAAATATACATTTTTATACCAAACCATCTTTCTGTCTTTAATAAAGTAATCAATAGGCTCAGGACTAAAAGTTTAATCTAAGAACTCCACAAATGAGCTGATATCTGGAAATGCCTCTAAAACACTAAAAAATTTTAAAACCTTTGCAAAAATAACATAGAAATCTACTTTGGAAATCAGCAAGCCATGTTTTTATTGAAAGTTTCTTTTCTACTGGCCACGAATTCAACACCTTGGAGCTTGTTAGCCAAAAAAACTTACACAAAATGTCAATGTGTAAAATGATGTCATCAGAAAAAGAAACATATTTAGGAACTGTCCACTTTAACCAGATTTGGGTGGTATATTCCAAGCCTGATCCACTCCTTCTAATATCCAACTATATCAACCAGAGAGGAGAATTTTTCCCATACTCCATAACATTCTTTACCGAAACACTTGAGCCCTCCCTGCGATTCCTCCGAATAAAATTAAACCGGGTGCTCCACCGCGTGTAGGTACATGTCTCCCCAGAAACTGACCAGCATAGACCGCAATTGTTTTTATGTCAATAGCTTCTGCCAAACTAGCCATTCCAGGCTCAGAAATAAGGTCCTTCCACACCAGGCGGAGGCTGGGCACGCCCGAGAGTGAACTCTGCTGCCCACGGGACACGGCGGCCTCTTTACTGAGCAGGCGACTGTGACTGCTCTGACCCTCCTTTGGTGCCTGGAACCACGTTTCTCTGTCTGCTGTCCTCTGATTCTTCTTCAGTCTCACTTTACAAACGGAAGTTTTGATCAATACACACACACACACACACACACACACACGCACGCACGGCCTCTGAGCCAGCAGGAAGAAGACAGCGGCGTCCTGATGCCAATCAGGAGA